ATTTTTGCACTTTTTACGAAAACTTGAAATTGAGCTGTGGAGCGAGATGGAAATTGGTCCTTGGAGCGGAGCCCTAAAGCAATCGATAGGAAATTTTAATAAGCTTTGAATTAATGACCCTCCACTTTGCCCGATTGCTCAACAGTTGTCGAATTATTCGCGATTTTTCAGCAAAAAACGTGGTTTTTACGTGCTTATGGAAAAAAGCGATTACTCTCTTCCCCGTTTTTCAAGAAAGCATAAATTTTGAACGGTCTTGTTTAGCAAATTTTTCACTTTTACGCAAGAAGTAAAGAGGGAAGTGATTCTTTTTTTCTTATTTTGACCTTTTGGGATGCGGCATGCTCCTGCTGTCGATAACCACTTTTTTACCTCATCATGGGAATTTAACTTTTCTTTCCCATTTCACAGGTGTTGTGGCAGTAGGCTATCAATGACGTTTTTCCACGAACACGTAAAAAATCACATTAGCAGTGTATCACGAACCTCTGAGTTTTGAATTAGTTCTTCTCCTGAGTAAATACCACTCCATATAATTTTTTTTCTTCATTTGTTCTAATTTTTGAGAAGAATGGATATTCCTTTATCCACATTCGAACAAACCAGATTAAACGTGTTTATTTAGACTTCTAGAGTAGTCGACGCCATTTCATTATTGGTGTTTTTAAATTATACGCATTACTTGTTTTTAATTATGCGGGGTCATGCTCTCCAGAAACATAAACTTTTTTTCTTAACGACCCGCTGGTCTGTGCAAGTATCGTGTCACACGAAAAGTTATTTTCTTCTTTTTCTTTTTCCTCTCTCTTATACTCTCACACGTGCTCGAACTCTTTCTCAGATACTCTATTCTCCGTTTTCCATGCTACTTTTTTCTGGTTCGTCTTTCTCTCTCTCTCTCTCTCTCCCACACTCTCTCTCTCTCTTTCTCTCTTTCTCTCTCTTTCTCTCTCTTTCTCTCTCTCTCTCTCTCTCTCTATATATATATATATATATATATATATATATATATCCGCCAAGCCATGCCCAGGGCATCCAATCCTCCCTATTAATATTTCTCAGTCGAATTGTCCAAATTCCTAAACTACCTTGAACTTCACTGTCCATAAGGACCTAAACAGTTTGTCAATAAAGTGATCCGATCCCGCTTTGAAAAGTTCCGCGTCAAACCCCACTGCCCGAGCTTTGTCAGTGCTTTTCCATCCAGTGAATCTTAAATGTACTCTAGAATCCTTGAACCTTCTTAATCCTTCATACTGAATGCCAGTATTGGCTGCGTTCTGTTCAACTTTTGCGGCTTCTTCTAGTAGATGGCTCTTCTTTTTCCATTCTTAATCAAAAGCTCTGGCTTGCTGGAAGTTGGAAAAAACGAAGCTTTTTATACTGCGGGCGATTGCGAAATCCTCACGGCATATACTCTTCATAGTTGCGCATTATAAACCATACGCTCTCCCGAAAAGTGTCCTATTTGTAAAACACATATATCAGCATGACGATTGGCCCTAAGCGAATAATCTTGTTTGGAAAGCATATCAAGTACCTCGTTGGTCCGTTCAATCTTGAACTGATATCAGGAGAGTTGGAATTTTTCTAAAAAAATCTTAAAAATCGTTTTTGTCCACAATCCTAAAAAGGGTTTTGTATCAATAATATCAACAATATATTGTAAATTAGGTTGAGCCTATGTGTGTCTCTATGTGGTTGGTGGTGGTCAAAGGCCCTCTGATCGCGTAAGCAGATTACTGGAGAGTTTGGACCTTTCTATAAACCTTGTAAATGGTTTTATTCGAACTCCCAAAACGGGATTTGTATCAAAAATGTCAGAAATATTTTGCGAAATAGGTAGAGCTTTTAGGTGTCTCCTGGTTGGTGGTGGTTAAAGGCCCTCTGATCGCGTAAGCAGATTACTGGAGAGTTTGGACCTTTCCATAAACCTTGTACATGGTTTTGTTCGAACTCCCAAAACGGGATTTGTATCAAAAATGTCAGAAATATATTGCGAAATAGGTTGAGCTTTTAGGTGTTTCCTGGTTGCTGATAGCCAATGGCTCCCTGGGTGCAATAACAGATCCCTAGAGAGTTTTGACGTTTCCATAAAGCTTTGAAATGTTTTATCCACACTCCCAAAAATGGTTTTGTACCAAAATGCCGGAAATATATTGTGATCTAGGTTGAGCTTTCGGGTGTCTCATGGTTGGTGATGGCCAAAGGCTTTCTGGGTGCGATAACAGATCCCTGGAGAGTTTTGGTCTTTCCATAAAACTTGTAAATGGTTTTATCCACATTCCCAAAAACGGCTTTTTATCAAAAATCAAAATATATTGCGAACTAGGTTGATCCTTTCGTGTGAAAGAACTACTTACTTTTAAGATATGGATATGAATAAAAATAAAGATAATGTTTTTCTAAATCTAGGTCACACCAGACCGCATCTCACGATCTCTAAATAACTATCCATAGTGTCAGTTTGCGAGTGGGGAAAAATGATTATTGATATTTAACGGCTATAAAAAAAAATTAAAATCTATCTACCTAGCTCTACGTCTTTCTAACTTTTTTTCTTGTGTATCAGCATGTTCCTTTTTATTTATAGAGGCATAGAGGTCTAAAACGAAAATAGTGTAATTTCAATAAAGACGAAAATATTCCATCAGCCAGACGGAATCCAGGTTCGAGGCCGGAGAAATAAACGTTTTCGGTAAAAAGGCATCGATGGAAAAACGACACCGATGAATATTTGATCTGAAAGAGCTGAGAATGTTTATCCACCTAATTAAAATATTCATGATGAAACTGAGTTTAATGGCCAAAATCGCATTACCATGCGATCCACATCATTATGTCATTGAATATATTATATCACTGACATCATTGTAATTCAAGAAGCATTTTAAGGATTGAATCTCTAATTTAAGCCTTTATGATTGAGCTTCTGACACGTTGATAAATAGGATAGTTTACTATTTGCTACGGCCACTGCCCTAGAAAAAAATAAGAAGAAAAAATGGCGTGAAAAGTTAATAAATAAAATAATTTTCTGAAAAAATTCGAAAGATAAATATATAAAAAAAATATATATAGGGTGTTCGGCTACTCGTGTTACAAATTTTGCCCGTAGATTCTACAAAAACTTGTAATAAACTATGGTCCGAATCTCAGCAGTTTCGGAGTTATTTTCACTTTTCCTGATTTTTTAAGATTTCACGACCTTTTTTAAAAAAAAATGATAACTCCAAAACTAAAAGGTTTTAGACAAATCCGTTGATACCATTGAAAACTACGGTAAATTTCCAATAAGATGGGATTAATACTAAACTTAAACATTCGTGAAATAGGTGTTTTAGTAGTGAGAACTTAGAAAAAAATTTCAATGTTGAAAAACTTACTGTACTGATTGTAAACTAATATTTCCAAACCTAGAAACCAGTAAATTTCAGAAAACGTACTCCATTTGATATCTTTTTTACTGGTGTAATTTTTTAAATTACTTTTTTCAAAGATGAAGAAATTGATGAAGGTAAGGAAAAAACCGTGGCTGATGAATTGGTAAAGTGAAAAATTTAAAAAAACTTAAAAAAATTTTAAATTAATTTAGTAAACTTTTTTAATTTTGTTTCAAAATCGAAGTGTTTACTTATTTAACAACACGACTGCAACTTTGATTAAAGATTTATTGTATTATTATTCTCCGGAATAAAAGACATTTAAGATTCGTTTTTAAAACGTTTTTAGTAATCTATGTGATATCGGGTTAACACTATGGCTACTTTTTCTAATAAAGAATGCGCTGCTATCCAGCTTATGTACAGGTTTTGCGGGTTTAATATGACCGGCAGTATGTCGAAAATACATTGCAGTGGATGGAGAGCATTTCGAATCAAAATTAAAAAATGTTCAATAAATTTATTCAAAATTTTCTGGTTTTTTTATTTTTTTAGTATTATTAATCTTTTCACCTTACCAATCTTTCAACCAGTTTTTTCTTTTCCTTCATTAATTTCTTTATCTTTGAAAAAATTAATTAAAAAAGCAATTGCACCAATGAAAAGGACATTAAATGCAGTAAGTTTCTTTAAATTTACTGGCCTCGAGGTTTCGAAATAGTAGTTTACAATAGTAATGTTTTCAGCTTAAAAAAAAAATATTTTTCAGAGTTCTCCCTAGCAAAACGATTTTTTTACGAAGATTTACAAGTTTAAAATTGATCACATCTTATTGGACATTAACGTAGTTTTCAATGATATCAACCGATTTGTCCAAAACCTTTTAGTTTTGGAATTATCATTGTTTATTTGAAGCAAGGTCGTGAAATCTTAAAAAATCAGGAAAAGTGCAGTAACTCCGAACCTGTTAAGATTCGGATCATAGTTAATTAGGACTTTTTGGGTCCTTTTTGAATGTAAAATCTACTGGAAAAGTATGTAACACGAGTAGCCGAACACTCTGTATACTCAATCCATTACAGTTCATGATCCGATCGGCCAATTAACTTTTTTCAATTAATTAATATTTATGAAAGGCATTGGTTGAGATAAAAAAGTCAGTGTCACGAGTGGATCGAAGTCACGATAGCTCAAGTGGGTTCGAATCCTGCTCGTGACACTGACTTTTTTATCTCAACCAATACCTTTCATAAATATTAATTAATGGAAAAAAGTTAATTAGTCAATCGGACCACAAACTGGAATGGATTTAATAATTAAACTGAAGTATTTCTTAAATATTAATTAATTGAAAAAAACTCTGTATACTGTTGTTTTTAACCGCTATCATATTTTACTTTTAATATTGTAAGGAGTAAGTTATACATTGTTATCTGAGAATTATTGTGTTACATATTATTTCTTAATTATAAACCTTGTAATTACTTGTAGAGCTCTGATGAAGACCTCAATAAAGGTTGAAAGCTTGGCCTAAGTAACAAAACTTACTTTTTTGATGACCGCATCCATGATATGTAACTTGCTGATGTATCTTATTGTGTATGTGTTCTGTTGCAGGCGAGATGAGTTTCTTCTCGTCGCTCCAACAGATGGTGAGCAGCGGAGTGGCGAACCTGAGCCTTTCGCCGAAACGCCATTCGATTTCGAAAGAGTCGGGAGGAAGCGGGCCGCCGCCCCCGGTTGGAGCGAACGAAGCTCGTTCCGCCTCCATTCCCGGCTTCCCCCGGCTCATACCGCCCCATCCGGCGGCCGCCCCCGTCCGGAGGAAGACGATAGACCAATCGTCGACAAGGCGATCTTTCAAAGGGAACCAGGAACCTCCCGGGTCGAGGCAGCCGCTCGTCTTCTGCAGAAGGAGGCTCTCATGGCCGGAAGTCGACCTCCAAGCGACCTCTGGGTATGCTATAAAAATGATTGATCCTTTAACCGTCGTACACAAAAAACCTAAAATTAAACAAATCCTATCTTTTTTTCATTTATTATCAAATAAAAAATTATAAATATACATACACAATTAAATTATTATACTCAGGGTTACCATCGTTGGGAAAAAACATATTCGACAATAGAAAAGTAGTTAGTTCGTGTAATTATTTTTATGTATCCGTTGAACTGTTAATTTACTTCCGGATTGTGTGTACGCGTCCCACAAATGCTAAAAATCAAACCAGTGAGAAGTTTTGATTGGAATCCTATCATCAAAATTGAGTTTTTTCAAAGTTCTACTATAACCAATATCAAAAAATGAAAAATAGCGAGAAAGAAAGAGAAAGGTAGAAAGAGAGAGAGAGAAAGAAATGTATAGATACATAAATGGGTAAAAAGTTGGCGAGAAAGAAGAGAAGAATGAGTTAGATATACAAATAAATATGAATATACAAAATGATGGAAAATAGTACAGAGAAAAATAGGAATTGATAGGCTGGTAGATAGATGATCGTTAGATAGATAGAAAGAATGGCAGAAAGAAGGAGAGGGAGAAAGAAAAAGAGAAACAGACAGACAGACAAACAGGGATAAAGACACATAGGAAGAGGGGAGAAACTGAGAGAGACAAACAGATATAAAAACAGACGAATAGACAAAGAGAGAGTACAAAAGAGAGAGAGAGAAGAAGAACAACTTAGACAGACAGACAAAGAAACAGAAAAACAGATTGTCAGAGAGAGAGGGAAAAAAAGAAAGAGTGAGAGAGAGAAATGCATAAATACTAAATAGATGGATAGAAAGATGAAGAGAACGAGAAAGAGGAGAAGAAAGAGTTAGACAAAGAAAGAGAGAGAGAGATAGTGAGCGAGAGAGAGAGAGAGAGAGAGAGAGAGAGAGAGAGAGAGAGAGAGAGAGAGAGGGAGAGAGGGAGAGAAAAAGTGAGTGAGTGAGTGAAAGATATACCCAGAGAGTACGAGATACAGAGAGACATAGAGAGAGAAAGACAGACATACAGAGAGAGAATAGGCAAACGAAGAGTAAGAGAAAGACTAGTTATGGCAAAAGAACATAATATTAGAGATCAGAAGAAAGTGCTGTAAGAGAAAAAATAAATGAGAGAGAGAGAATGAGGCAGACGTCAATGTATTGGAGAAAAAGATAAGTTAAAACAGACAGAAAAATATAAAAAAACTGCACATAAATAGTATAAATTCAATTTCTTTGGTATATTAGCAGGAACTAGACAACCATCAAAAGAAGAGTAAAAAAATATATCATATAAAAGTAATTATAGAATAGAAGGAAATATAGATCGACGAAGATCTGTAGATAGAGAATTGAATTGAATGGAATATTTTACTTATAAAAACTGGCAAATTTAAATCTCCTAGATCTTTTTTATATTTAACATGCATTCGTATGTTCAAATAAAGATTACTTACTTTTTTTACCGTCTAGGTATATTTTTAAATATTATTAATGTTGTACAGAGTATGATTGAACATAAAGATAGAGATAAATAGATAAAGAGAGGGAACACAAGAGAGAGAAAGAGAAAAAGAGAAAGAGAGAGACACAGTGATAGTGAGAAAGAAAGAAAGAAAGTGAATTTGGAAAATGTATAAGCAACGAAAAAGTCATTTTTGCAAATGCCCACCTCCGTCTTGATAAATGTTTTCCAATTATGTTGAAAAGAAACGGAAAACTAGACTATAGAATACGGTCCAACTCACTGTAGTACATATTTATGCATATAAACTCGGCCAAGATAAATAATGTGTAGAGAATAACAAAAGAATCTTTTGCAAAAAGGATATCGTGTTCAGCCATAAATCGATATAGTTGAAATGGGTGTGCCTCTCCTGTACCCCGGCTTTTCAAAACATCAGAACCCAAAGCACAACTTCACCTTGTAGTTAGCCAAGTTACGGTTGTAGTATTGTAATGAGGAAGTATCGGGGCTCGGAGGAAGGAAAAAATACGACAAAAAGGGACGGCTAACGTTGAAACACGGTTATTTTGAAACAGGAAAAAATTGGACAAACCATATTTTTGAAGAAATTGCAATATTTACTGATTATTAATGTTTATTTAACAAAAATCTGTTTTTTCCTCATTTATTTGTATCTACAACTGTAGATGTATTATATACAATCAACAGATTTGATCATTTATGTTTGTGGCATTACGGGCGTTACAGACAAACTACCTATTGGCAGCCACCCTGGATTAATAAAATGATATTGGTCGTTTAAGAGGTCTCTTATCTTTATTCTTTTCAAACGTATAGGTGATAATTGTGGGGATCGTATTCGTGTGTTATGTGATTTTTTAATTTACTATTTACTAATAAAACGTCTGTAATATATTTTGATGGATGAAAAAACTGAAAACGCAGCGGTTAAGGCGTTGACACAGCTCTTCACTGTAAGGTTAAGTTCCGGTGTTCGAATCCAGCGGCTCTGCATTCGAACACGACATACTTAAAAAAAAATTTCAAAAACCCCGGAAACCTGAGGGTAATAACCCTCGTTAAAAAAAACTTGAATTGCACGGCGCTAGTGTCCAATACATACGCAATACAGAAAAGCGTTGCTGGTTTAGCCTATTCAAATTCTTTAAGGCCGTGGAAAAATGTAATTCTTATTAGTTAATAAATTATTTATTATTCTATTGAGGTTATAATGGGTGTGTCGGTGATCTCAGCGGGTTAGGGGCACGCGCTCATTACTGAAGTAAAGGTCCCGGGTTCGAATGCAGGGCCGCGGATTACATAATTAGTAATTGTTTTTTGTTTGTTTGTTTTTTTTTTCAAAAACACCGAAGCCTCATATAACTTCTGCTGTTGCGAACCTTTGTAAAAAATAAAATAATAATAATAAAACAATATAAATAAAAGCAAAATAAATAAAAATAATTAATAAATGAAAATATTTTTTTTTAACATTCTGTAACATAACTTGGATATTCTTTGACAATTTAAAATCTGATTTCGCTGGCGTGTTCAGTAAAAATCTCTTGAAACAGTCAATATAACGGAATACGGCCTTACTTAAAATTTCAACGTTGTACTGGCTCTGAAGTATCCAGACGACAAATATCTTAAAAAACGATAAACTCTAAAACTAGACGTTTTTTACTTCATTTTTTTTATATCTACAACCATGTATTATATACTACCAGCAGATTGGATTTCAATTTACGTGTTTCAATTCATTACGTGCGTTATAGAAAAAGTGACCCATTGGCAGCCGTTCTGGATTAATAAAATGATATTAATCATTTAAGAGGTCTCTTATCCATATTCTTTTCAGACGTTTACGTGGTAATTGTGAGGAATCGTATTTGTGATTTTGTTATTTACTATGAAAACGTCAGTAATATGTTTTGATGATCAAAAAACGATTGGCATATGAAGATCTCTGCGAAGTGTGTTATTGTTTACGTAAAAAGGGGCAGAAACAATTAGTCTCAAAATTTTGGATTTTAAATCTTTTACTATTGGAATATTTGGCCGATCCATAACCTTTGGCAACTGTACATCTAAGTAGGTTTAAGTGGGTATATGTATGTCGAAAGTTTTTCTTTTAATGGTAATTTTGATTGTCGGTTGGGTAGGTAATAAAGCATTTTAAATTGTTTGTCGAGGTATGTTTTCTAGTGAGTCTTCTATCAAATGTAAGTCCTAAATAATTAACTTTGTCGGATTGAGGAACAGGTTCATTGTATAAGTATATGCTAGGACGCACGACGGAGTGTACAGGTTATTTGTTATGACTTTGAGGGGTTAAACTTTATTTTCCAAAGACTGCTACATTTTTCAATAGTTGATACATGGTTTTTTAACATAAATGAAGCTACTGTAGAACAGCGATTATTCGTTAATATGGCGGTAAGTGTAGTTTCATTTGTGGGCATATCAGAAGTAAAAATTGAGTACAACAGCGGAGCGATTATTCACCCTTGTGGCACACCTGCAAGCATTTCTTCCATCTCAGAAGTCTCAGACCCTGGTTTACAGTGAAAAATCTCTCCTTAAGGTATGATTGTATAATAAGATAATAGGCCTGGGGTAAAAATCATTTTAATTTGTATAATAATTCCTCATCCATACTTTGTCGAAAGCCTCTGTGCGAACAATTTCTGCTCGAGACATGAGCCAATGAAATCTGTATCTCTGTGATGTTGATGAGTAGTGGAATGACAGATTTGAAATCAAAATTGATGGTCTGGTAAGATGACTAAAATCTTAAATATGATAAATTAAATTATTTACTGTTTTTGTTTTATAGGTTTTTCTTTACTAGTCTGATTGACCTTAAAGTGGTGAGAGATGTGTTTTAAGAACAGTTTGCTTGTTTCTAAGACGGATTTATGATCAAGATATTTTCTTTTCAGAGCGTTTTACTCTTAGAAATGCCCATAAATAGCAAATTAAAAAAGATGTCCATTAGCCAGACCTAAAAACGACTCAGATCCAATTTGGTCTGAAGCCGTATCACTAACTTTTCATTAATGACCGACCTTGTTTTGTAATTGTACTTTACAAGGAGACGTTGAACGAAATTAGAACCGAAATTGCTTTATGGCTTCGCGGCTAAGAATTATTTTCTCAGGGGCTGAGAAAAACGATTTTGATATTATTAGATATTTTAATTGTAGTGATAGTTCAAAAGAAAATCTAACCATTTTTGGAAGTGATTCGGCCGATTTATGTTTTCGTTTTGTTCAAATATATCAGATATCGTTTGCCACTTGTTAAAAGTTTTAAGAAGACACTCAAAAACAGCAAATTCGCCCCGGGCTGGGCCGAGGGGGTGGATAAAATTGTAGAGGGAGAAAGTTTCCCGGTGGACAGTTTTATGTAGGGACTTGGGCCGTTGTCAGGACCGGCTTCGACCCGGTTTCAGGAGATAACGCAGCAGAGGAAAGATAGCCGCCCTCGTAAAACAATTCGTCTAAAAGAGA